CTCCAGTGGAGTGGTGTGTTGTGGTGTGGCATGGAGTCGTGGGGCTCTGGGCCGCAGATCGCAGATCAACGTTAGAAATGGAAATGCGCTTGACTGCATACAATGGCTTTGGCTTTGGCTTTGGCTTTAAGTTTTGCTGCAACTGCTGCAGCAAACAACAAACAACCAGCAACAACAACTAGCAACCAGCGAATGTGTGTTACTGTAACTCTGAGCCAGCAGCCTGTTAGCCAGTTAGTTGGCCAGTTAACTAGCCAACAACTTGACTTTGGTTTCGTTTTCGATCTTCCTGTCATTGTGCTGCCGCCGTGGCGCGTGCTCATCTTGCTTTAGTTAGTTGATGTTGCTGCCTGCACTTGTTGCACACGCCCGCGGCAACCTGCAACTTGCTGCCTGCAACAGGTGAGAGTTGTCGCTGCTGCTGGCTAATGATTGTGATCTCTAATCTGCAGATGTTCAGGGTCAGCGGATACTTTGAAGGCAGATAAGCAAGATGTATGTTTAGTCACTTTTGCAAATATTGCTCATACGACATGTGGTCTTTAAATTATTTATTTTAATTCAGCCGCCTTTGCTGAGACTTAGGTAGATAAATGATAAAGCCATTTGATTAAAATAAGTCATTGTTGTATTATATTATATATAAAAAATAAAAATTAGTAGATGAGTGTTTTGTATTTATTTTCATTTAGACAACTTTGCACAATAATTTAAAAGAACACAAAATCTAGAGTAAAATTTATCAGAATTTTTTATTTCGTATGTCCTTGAAGTTTTATCAATTCAGGGAAAATATAGGAAGTTAAGGAATTCGTAGAATGTTTTTTCCTTGGCCCATTAGATAAATATTACTCAATTTAACATTACTAAAAGCTAGACAAAAAATAATAATAGTTAAAGCATTTTGTAATTGTTTTCATTTGGAAATTATAATATATTAAACTTAGTTATCAGTGTGTAGTTTAAATTCCTAAAATCCTTGTAATGAAATCAATTTAGGAAGTAAACAGGAAACAAAAGATGCAATTCAAAGAATCGATCTTTAAAATTCTAAAATACTTTTAAAGTTTCCACTTAAGGCAAACGCAGCTTCCTCATGTTTTTTTGCACTCCGCTTAGCATTTTATTCCCATTCAAATTAATCGGAATTAACATATTTGCACAATTTAAAGCACTTTAATTAGCACATTTTACTATGCGAAGGTCGATCACAACATCTCAATAAAAAGATCATGCAATCAGCCAGCTCTGAAAATCCATAAGCAAATTTTCTAGAAAGTAAATCTGTAGACAAATAGCACATAATTAATAAAATTATGAGAACACTTTGGGGGCGATACAAAAAAAAAACTAGGGAATTGTAAGTGATTATTTCCGCCTTTTTTCAAGCTGCCACAAAAACGATAAATTAGTAATAAATTCATCGATTGGATATGAATATGAATGGCGAAAAGAGTGTAAAAAATTGCGATGCAAATTGAGTATTTAGAATAACAAAAAGCCAAGGTTTTCAGGCATGCAAAGCATCCCCAAGCGATTGCAACAATGGAAAAAAAGCATTTTCAAGGCCCTAACATTGGCTGAAATTTGGCCCAAGTCTTGGTGCCAATTGAACACTTCAACTTTGAGCTAATGAGAATCGAGTGCAGTCGGTCCAAACTGGTTAGCCGAAATGCACTTTGTGCCCAGATCACATCCAATCCAATCCCAGCCGAACCGAACTGAACCAAAACCAATCCAATTGATATTAACTCGTTTTGTTCTAGGCAACATTTTGTGATCTCTCGTGGCTCAGAACCTTTGGCCAGCCAATCAATTGCTGCCATTTTTTGTGATTTCGTATTCTATATATTCCACAGCCCCCCATACATATTATATGGGGGTACGAGTTTCTCTAGCTTCTAGCTTCTAGCAGGGCGGCCTTGATATTTTGTTTTATTTATGAAATCAAATGCAGGCGAGCGAGATACGAATACCGACAGCCACCAGATACTTGTGGCATTTATTATAAAAAGCTTTCGAGTGAATGAATTCCCCATAGCTTTTGTATCTGTAACACGTCTATATAGATATATAGAGTCACCCCAACCCCCCTCCCCCGGCTGTCTTTGGGCCTGTCTCCGATTCTCAGGCCGATGCGAAAGGCAGGAAGCCGCAGAGCTCAAAATAAGCATTGACTTTGCATATTTGTGTGTGACAGCCCAGCTGTATCAACGGATATGCCAGGGAATGTTTGGCATTTCCTTGGAGGAAAACTTGATTTGGTTTTAATTAGAAAATTACTTAAAATAATACCAAAAAGAAGGCGTTGGGCTGGCCCTAAGAATCGCTCAATCGCAATCAGCCTGCTTGCCAGCGAAGTGCACGAAAAAAAATGCATTACAAAATCAGCGATTATCGATAGGTTCCTTTTGTACATATATTACTAATGCAGCAATTATTTTACTTCAAATCTAATAAAATGTATTTATATTATGTATTTTTTATATTATATTTAGAAATCCTAGTAATGTTGTCACTAAAAAGGTTTAATTTTCAAACCATAAATTATTAAAATCAATTATCAATTACGCCATTGTAATGTGTTCTTTTTTAAATTTATATCACATTCTTTTGTTTGATTTTAATAAATTCTTTTTTTTGTTTTGATGATATTTTGTTACTTTTAAAGTTTCAATTATAGAACCATAGCATGTTAAAAAGAGGGGTACATTTTACCATTACTTTGTAACAATAAAAAAAATAATAATGGTATCACATACAAATGCATATAAGTATTACCTAATCACTTCCAGCTTACACAGAATTAAAATTTATTAGGAAATGGTATCTTATGAATAAATTTTTGTGGTCTGTAATATATTTTTACTATTTAAAGAGTTGAAAACCCACAGAAAGGATGTGTATTTATATGGCTTACTTCCGAATCGATGGCCATTTTTGATGATATTATATTTTTCCCTGTGCTGCTCCTCCCTGGCAAATTGCTGGCAGCCTCTTCTGCCGGTCTTCGGAGCTTCTGTTCATCTTCATGTGCTGCTGGTTGTTCTTCTTGGTAGGCCGGCAACGTCCATCATAATTAACGTCCATCATCAGTTGGCTGCTGTTCGGCCGCGTGCTCCGCTGACACGCCCACAAAGCTACTGCTCGGCACGCCAACCTGCTGTTGCTGGGTTGTTGGGATGGTTGTTGGGGGCTGGTTGTTGGTTGTTCGCTGGGTTGCCGGGTTGTTGGGCCCAAGTTTGGCTTTGGCTTTGACTGTGGCTTTGGCATTGCCCGCCTTTGGCCATGGCAGCTGGAGTAATTTTTCATCAGCGTAAACATCTTGAAAACGCTCTTTGGGCTACCAGTTTTACTGGGCCTCACCAGATCGCAAATCGCAGCGGCGCAAATGGCAGCTGCTTCTGGCCGGTCATGTAAGCCAACATCAGCATATCTGCTATCTGATATTAGAATCTCAATTACTTTTTCCAGCTCTTCGGCTGCTATTGTAATTTCCTTCGCAAAGGGGGCTGGAAAACTGAGCCGGTTTTTTTTGGTTTTCGGTAGGCAAATATCCGTTGAGGTAAACATGAAAATTTAGTGGCTGTCATAGCAGATAGTCCGGGCCAAAAGGAGAATAGGCAAAAAAAACACAGAAACGCATCGGGGGAAAAACTCAAATTGCCTCCTATCAGATTTAATCATTTATCAGCCAACAGGCAATTACAGGTTGGAAATTTTCATTCATATCCCCCCCCCGAAATACAAAAAAAACCCCTTCGATTTGCCTGAAATTACCCGAAATAGGAATGCAGTCCATAAAAGTTGCGATGCATCTCATTAGATGCAGGCGGGCAGATATTAAGTGGCACTCATTGAGTTAGCCAAACTCATAGCGAAATCCCAAACACGTTTCGCAATTTACGACATTTTAATAATGAAACAAAACTAATTTAATGCAATGAGACAACAACGACAACGGCATTTGAATAAATTAATGTAATAGACAGCTTAAGCAGCAAGAAATATTGCTGTCTACTGTTTAATTGTGCAGTGAGTTTCAGAACATAAGTGCTCAAATTGGAAAATGCCAAGACAAATATTTTGAAGGACTTATAGCTCAAGTTATATTTTTTTTAAGGATTTATTACAAATACTTCAAAATTATACTATTTTCTTTATTTTATTTAAAGGCAAGCTTGATGAAAAAGTATAAAAAAATAGGTAGAAAAAATAAAAAAAGGTTTTTTAATAAAAAAAGAAACAGGAACAATGACTTTTAATTTTTTTTTAATTATTTAAATGTAGTTCATCTTACAAAAAATTAAAATTAATTAAAGTTTTGTTTAATAAAATATGTTAGACACATATTTTCAAATAGATATCGATATAAACTCAAAAATTTAAGCTAGACAACATTGTAAATATTCCACTTAACTTAAATTACGGCCAAGGGGGGTTTTTTTAAATTATAATTTGTTTAGAAATAAATTAAATATATATTTTCACTGGTCTAAAACCCACTGTACTCGTAACTAGGAAATATCAAAAACTGGTAGCTGCCCGAATAGTAAAAGCCCCACCAATACTATGAAAACTAAAACCACAAAATACAACAACAGCGGCAAGTAGAACTGCATCAAAAGTGAAAACAACAACAACTATAGCCACAGACTGGTGGCTTAGCAAGAATGCAACAACAAAATCAAGAAAAAATAAATAAATTTTCAGCATATGAAATAATAAGACGAAAACAACAAATACAAAAAACAAATCTAAAGTGCAACAGGTTTTGTGTGTTTCCGCGATAACCTTGAAACAAAACTCGTTTAATCATTTCGTAGCGTTCGAAAATGCGGCAACAACAACAGTAAATGAAATTTTATATGGCGCATTATAGATTTAATAAATTAACACTCATTTCCATTGGGGAAATTTTTCGTTTTCGTTTATTTTTTTTTCGTGTTTGTCGCTTCCAGCTAATTGTGTTGGCTATTCGCCTTTGTTTGTCATTGCAGGTACAGTTGCGATTTAACAATATCGCCAAGATATCTTTTCTTAAAAAAAAAGGAAAACTATGGCCGATTGTTCGTTTGTCAGATGTCTGCAAGAGCGTCGGCTCATTAAAAGGGAGCTATTGAAATGGTCCAAGGATATGCTGCACATTGTGGGTGAGTTTTAGTGGTATCTAAAAAAAAAAAAATTTTTATTATTAGTTTATAATTTCCTTTTAAATATGTTAAGCAACATTTAGTTATCATATTTATGCTCCCATCCTATAAATATGAATATATATATAAATATATAAGTTTTTATAATACTTAAGAACAAAAAAAATTTTTTTTTTTTTCAACACAATGTTAATTTTGTATATTTATAGGGGAACATTAGGATAACACTTAATGCATAATACTTAATATTTATACTTTATTTATCATCAATCAATACATTTAAAAATGTTAATCAGTTCAATATTTAATTAATCTTATTGATTTTCGAACTTATTAAGATTTTTTTATCATCCTTTAAACCCTTTTCCTACTTCTATTGAACCCTAACCACCCCTAGTTCAATCCAATTAAAATCTGTTGAAAGCTGAGACGCTGAAAAAAGCACCCAAGCCAATAAGCGGAATAATTTTTGTGCTAGGTGGCTCAGGCATCGAACCCCCGGACATTTTCAACTATCTATGTAGAGGGCGCTTGTTTTTTGTGCTGATCCCCAAACCCCATCGTTCATATTAAGGCCGCAAATGGGATTTGGCCCGTGTAAATGGCAAATGAAGTGCCTGCAAGTTGTTTTCCCTCCGAAATTGACTTTAGCCAGACCTAATCAACATCGACGGGGCTTAAGTCCATACCATATGGCTAGGTAAAAAACCAAAAAAAAACACACCGAGGAGTCTGGCCAAACACAGAGGAAAATTAACATAAATTGCAGGGCCTTATACTTGCATTTTTTTTGTTTGGTGTGCCTGGTGTCACCCTGGGATATATATTTCCTCAGCTTCAACCTTATCCTTTTGCCTGAAAACACTCATTTCGGTTTTTGAGCACGTTTAGCACGTTGCCAGCGATCCCGAAGCCCAAAGCCCACACCCCATTAAAATGTTAAATGCCTTTTGTTGTTGTTGTTGTTCTTGGTGGGTGGGTGGGTTTTCTATATGTATACATGCCGCTCTCCATGTACAAATATATATATATATATATATGTATTTTTTTCTCGCCAGCCAGCACACAAACACATCGTCGTCCTTGCCTTTCGTCCCTGTCTCGTGCACTCAATTACTTCCTCAATGCGCTCCATAATGCTTATCGTCCTTGTTTCTAGTTGACATTCCCGCACAAACACAGAGACAGCGGCACCGCTTCCAGTGGTTTTTCCCCCCCTTTTACACCTCCCCCCTCACCTCCCCTTTAGGAAAACCCTTAGCACATTTTTCCAGCGACAATTTTTGCTCGGCTCTCCGGCGACGACGACTTCGTTGTCCTCGCTGCACGAAGCTGCAGCAAAATGTGAAAGAAGCCAGGACGAAAAAAAAAGGATATACTATATATATATATATGTATGCACGGGTGTCTGGCGTTTTGGGGGTCTGGGTTTCGGGTTAGTTCTAGCCAACATGGGTTAAGAGCAGGGTAGGGGGCCCCAAAACGAAGTGCTCTGCTGGAGATAACGAAGCGCACTTAAGCACACGCACACTCGCACACCAGCACACACTAACACACACACATGCGCAGGTTGGTGTGGTGTGGGTGTGGGTGGTTTTTGGGGGCAGGTCCCTACGAAATATATTGCACAATATAAAAATTGCAGACGATGAGTGCCGAATGCGTTTGCCGAAAAGGCAGCCGGAAGTTGGGGAGGGGGTAGGGAAAATGGGGAAAATGGGAAAACTACTGCAAGAACAGCAGGGAAATCCACTACAACAATTGCAGCTGCAAACGAACGAAGCCGAACCGAAGGACGAGCCAACGAGGAGCGAGCGTTTTCCTCGTTTTCCTCCTGTTTTTGTGGCCGATTTTCGTCGCCAACGAATTTTCCTGCATTTTTTTTTGTACACTTTTTTCCTAGATTTTTTTTCAACACCCTCGAAAAAACCCAAACCCATCCAGACCACCCAGAAAAACGATGCTGATCGAAGCTGAGGAGGTAGACAAAGACGTCGGTTGGTTGGCTTTGGTTTGGGTTTGGGTGGTTGGTTAGTTTTCTGGTGGGTCAGTGGGTGGTTTGGTTGGTTTGGGCCGTAGTGCTGATGGGAAATCTCGCCTGTTGCATTTGCCACTTCCATTTTTCCCCACCCAACTGTTGTTGGCAATGGCTCAATCAGTGAATCAGTGGTGGAGTTTCATTTGATTGTAATGGGAGCCCATCCACTTGTGGATTCAGGTGTGTGTTCGGAGTCGCTTGGCCAGCCATCTGTATGCCAAACTCAACGCCCGGCATAAAGGGGATTACACTAACCAAATTATATAAGCTGCATAAAGGTAATTTTCGATGGCAGCGGTTATGGGGAAATTTGTTTGGGGACCAGGGCTTTGAAATTACTTTATATTAGGTATTTTGAGTAAATTGTGGGTTATTTTCTGATAAGAAAAGGTCCAAATGGAAACATATTTTGGGGTTATCCTTGTTTCAAGACTTAATATTGGATTTGTTGTTTTTTTAGTTGGTCAAACTATGATTATAGCAATTTAAATTACATTTAAGCATCTAAGAAATTTGGATTATTTGTCCATGAATTTAGTATTAAAGTGGACAACTCTTTTTAGGGTTGTAGAAGATGTCAAAATTTTTTAATAGAATTTTGGAATTATTTGATCTTGAACTTAATTTTAAAGTTAAAGTAACTGATTTTTGGGTTATAGATGGTACCATACAAATTTAATATTATTTATTTGTTGTATGTTAAAGGCTTAAAGTAAAGGAATGGGTGGGCTTTAGTTGTTGGAAATATTATATTATTTACAAGTTTACTTTATTTCTAATATTAATATTTGAAGGATAAGACATAGACAATTTAAGTAGCTTTCATAAAAGTAAATTAAAAAAAATTATTCAAAATGTTAGTTGTATCTTTTCTTTATTTGAAAACTTTAGTCATTCTAATATACGAATGTAAAGGCCAAACTCAAAACTTTGGTCTTAAATCACACCTTGCCAGCTCCTGTAAGAGATTTCCGTGAGATAATGCAATCTACCTGAAAATATAGCAATAAAGAGCTCAGGCAAATATTTTGCCAAGCTTATATTTCCTTGCGAAAAAGTTATCCAGCAGAAAACAAACCCCAACAGGGATTTAACTTGTTGCATAGTCGTCGTCCAGCCGCCCTCACCCCTTTGCCCACCCCCGAATCCTTTCTAGTTGGTTTGTTTGCCTGGAAAACTAACCTCCCCCTTTCCCTCGTCCTCCCCCCTCCCCCGATGGGGTGTAAACATATTAAAAAGCCAAACTTTTCCTTTGCCTTTATTTACAAAATAAAAAATAAAAAAGAACACACCCAAATAAATAGAGGAAAAAAATCTGGAATATATAGAAGAGAAAGAGATGCATTATAATGAAGGGGTGGTGGGTGGCTAAAGGGGAGGGGTGGCCGAAAGCAACAAGCTGCACATATATATATATATATATATGTATTTTTTATTTGCAGCAAGGAAGAGAGAGCGCAGAAAGTTTTCCGGGTGTGTGTGTGTGTATTAAGAAGCAGCAGGTGTTGGGCAATATTGTGGGCCATTCCCACCCCCCAAAACCCACCGCACCCCCTCTGGCCCTGTCTCTATGTAGTGGTTAGGTCTTGGCTCTATTTCCACCCATTTTACACCCGTTTTCCCAACCCAACCCACCCACTTTGCCAAACGCATCTTTCGATAACGCCAACAACAAGGAACAATAAAGGAGAAGGAGAATAGCGTTGCAGGCGCCGCTGTCGGCGTTGGCTTTTCCCCCCTTTCCCCCCCTTCCCACCATTTTCCGCCTTAACCAACCCCCCCTTTGGATTTTCCACCCACCGTCTTTGGCTGTAAGAAGGCATTTTTATGCCAGAAGGATGCAACAAGCGACGAGGACAATGTCTGCTAGTGTGTGTGTGTTGGGTGGGGGGGGGCTCAGCTTTTCATGGACTACGCAATAAGCACTCCACCTACTTTCCAATGTCGGGCGAACTATTTCCTCAAACCCCCACCCCCCCTTCGTTTTTTTTCCGCCCTGCCTTTGCCTTGTTGAATTTTTTCCGGCGGTTTTTAGGTTACATTTTTACGAGTTTTCTCCACTTCCACTGCCACAGAGGCAGCCACATCCTCATCCACAGCCACATCCACATCCACATCCTCATCCACTTGTTGTTGTATTGGCGAGGATGACGCTGCAAGCGCCGAAGGAGTCGCCGGGCGCCGCCGTCGTCCTTCGTCCTTGGTCCTTGGTCCTTCGTGTGAGGCAGCCAAATTCATGATGGTGTGTGTGTGAGGAAGCGCCACAAGTGGGTGAAACTCGGCGCGAGTGAGAGGGCAATACGAAGAGAAAGAGACAGCTAGAGAGAGGGAGAGGGATGAGGGAGAGAGAGGGACTATAGTTTGGTGCATTCGGGGCACCCCCATACCATCACCATCACCATCACCCCAGCACCCCCTTTTTAGCCACCCCACTTCGGTTTTCTGGGTGCACAGAAATTGGAAAATAGATTTTTTGGTTGGTTGCCTTTGGCCGGCTTCCTTCCTTGCTTCTCCAGTTTTTTCACTCTTTTGGGGCTCTTTTTTTATTGCGAAAGTGCACGGGGAAAAAATATGATCAAGAATGCAAGGTATAATATACCCAGAAATAGTTAGTTCAACTATTATACTATTTTATAATGACTAATACATTATTATACTCGTAGTATTATTATATTATATTATTATTAATAATAATATTTGAAATGTGTAATTGTGTGTAAGCTTAATTGTCAGACAAAAAAAAAGGTATAAGCTATTCTCAATCATTAAAAGTCGATTTATAGGTGGAATCCATTTCCAGCCCAATGTTATTGATAAGAAATGATTATAAAAATACAAGCTAAGTCTATTTGAGGCTTAGTACAAAAAATCAAGGTTAGCCTTAAATCGGATGATCAGAAATCCATTTTAAATAAAATCTGACGTCTCTCCATCATAGTGCATAATCAAAAATCGGCAAATC